AGAACGGCACCCTCCATCCGAACCCAGCTCAGCCTTGGTACACTGGTAGTGAAGCGACTCGTTACCTTTGCAGAAGATAGGTCAGCTCCGGTACGGAGTTCCATTTCAACGCTACCTTTCAGCGTCTCCTTAGGATGGCTGAGAATCGTCCGAAGTAGTGACTGTACTCCGTTCAACAACACGCTCACCTCACGGGTGGACTCACATGAGCTGTGAGTCCGTCAGAGGTTCCACTCAGATTTGGAAGATTCCATAATCCCAACTAGACTCGGAAGAATTCTCGGAAGAACTGCTGTTCGGAACTTCTGTTCTCTCGTGCTCCCAGAACTTCTGTTCTGTTTCAGAACTTCTGTTCTTCCCCAGAACTAACTGGAACTAGGAAGTGTCGACTTTTAAAGAGTTCTGCTTCCGGTCACTTTTAGGAAGTCCTGATTGGTTGAAAGAACCAACAGGGGTGTGGTTTTAGTGACGTCAGAGGGTCACTACAAGTCAAGAAAACAGCAGGAATGTTTTAGAAACGTCCCGTACAGACAGAAGACGTGTTATGGCGAAGTGGGAGGAAGCAAATGCCAGTAGCTTCTTATTTACCGTCTGCTATGTTTAAAAACAATCCACTTCGTTCTAATAACTTCTTTCTGACTTTCGACCGACATCACTACTTCTCATTTCAGACAGAAGATCAAAATGCATAATTACTTTGTAACAGACATTTAACTTGATTTCTACTTTGAATGAGGATTAAAAAAATCATTAATACTGTTTCACAGTTGATTTAAAATGAGTGGTTCACTTCAACATTTAAAATGGTTTGAACTAAACACACTTTTGATTATCAAGACATTGTAAAAATAGTAATGATAATATAAAAAGAGAGTGTTCTTTCAATTGATTAGTTCAGGATACAATTAGAAAGTCTCTGGATGAGCTAATTTGTATTTCTGGATTCAAATCAATGAAATAACAGTTCCTGTCCCATGAAGGTCTTCAGAGACAGGTTTGACCGGAGGCCGAGTTCACTACATCTGTGAGCTGAGACAGTCAGGGCCCACCGGATACTACCTACCATTGGAAGTTCAAGGTGTAGAGATCCAAGGATACCACCCCAAAGATGCTGTACTGTCGTCGGGGACAGATAAACCAGCTATCAAGGACGGAGCCGTGGACGGCCCTCAGAGGTCCTTTGACCCCTCCTGGCTGCTCGCAACTCTGCCAGTACAACCTACAGCCGAGGTGATGGCAGTCACACGTGCACAAGCTACAGCCAAGCCGGCTGACAACACAGTCTCTGTACAACCCATGCTGACTGACCCAGACATCATCCAACTTCAGAAGTTGGATCCTGCAATAAACTCTATGATGCTGTGCTTGACTGACCCAGAGAAAAACACTCCGCCCGAAGCCAACCTAGATTCCAATCCAGACCTTAAAGCCCTCTTTCAGCTGCGCAAACAGCTAAAACTACTCAAGGGCATCCTAACTTTAGCTCATGGAGCGATGTCCTCACCCGTGTTCGCGGTCCCCCATGACCAAAGGGGGGTGACGTTAGTTAAGGTAATGTTACCAGATGCGATAACGTGATCAAATCTGACAGTCAGAGTGAGTGACGCACCGAAACGTCGTTTCTTAGTTGCTTAATCACTACTTTTGTCAATGTTGAAACGTTTTTCTGGTTGATTAGTCACTATTTTTGTCGATGTTGAGACATCGTTTAATTGGTTTTTGGTATTGTTTCTGAACACCCCCAGCAGGAATGAATTTTGTGTGTACTTTAGTTAGAGACTAAGAGGACTTTAACTATGCCAACATGCAGTTCATTTGTTAAAATTCAATCTTTGCGGCGTCAATGTAGATTAATGCTACCTTAAGTACCATAATCTACATTGGTCACACGACGCTCAAGCCGAACCTACTCGAACAATCCTATGCGGGGGGGGGGGGGGGGGTAGCTAATCCTTCAGTTGAGTCTCGCCATAGACTCCAAAACATCTAGGGGAAAACCAAAAAACCAAACCTCAAGTCGTTTGTCTAAAAGGACAACAGACAATTGAACCAAACTATATTTTGCCATGTAAATCTAACTTAAACCAAGTTAGGAATGGAAAGATAGTTTGGAATGCACTTCTATAGGTATAAATTCCTAAATGAAAATTTTTCAACATGACCCACCCTTTAAACTGGTAACTTTAGCTGATCTAAACCATGATAGCTTACACACCAGGTGCATATAGGTTAAGGTCTTATGTAAAATCCCACTCATAAGCCCAACTAAAACCACATAAATGCATGACACATAGAACCAGAATGCCACCCACTGGGAACCACCAGCAGCAACCTTCGCTGAAGGGACCTACAGCTCCAACGTGGGTCTCCAATCTTCATCCAGTGGTTGCCTCTGCAGTTCAATCGAGGGAACCCCTCTGCATTCTGATCAATCAACACCTCCAATCGTTGTGGATTTATCGTTGTGGATTATATGACTTTTTCCAATGGATTACAGACTTTGTTTTCAAGGGGTTAAAGCGTTGCTGCAAAGGAATTACCAACAACATTATGGAATTACCAACAACATTATGGAATTACCAACAACATTGTGGAATTACCTAAACCGTTGTGGGATTACCTTCTTTGACTTTTGTTTTCCTCTTACTGGATTACATCAAGATCAAGGACATTCTGAGGCGTAAGTTCATGTTGGAATTCATCCCCATGGACAGGCGATGATTTCCAAAGGGGGGACTGTAGTGGACTAGGCCTCCGACCAAAACCTGCCTCTGAAGACCTTCATGGGACAGGAACTGTTATTTCATTGATTTGAATCCAGAAATACAAACTAGCTCATCCAGAGACTGTCTAATTGTATCCTGAACTAATCAATTGAAAGAACACTCTCTTTTTTATATTATCATTACTATTTTACAATATCTTGATAATCAAAAGTGTGTTTAGTTCATACCATTTCTAAATGTTGAAGTGAACCACTCATTTTAAGTCAACTGTGAAACAGTATTAATGATTTTTTAATCCTCATTTAAATTAGAAATCAAGTTAAATGTCTATTTTACAAAGTAATTATGCATTTTTGGTCTTCTGTCTGAAATGAGAAGGAGTGATGTCGGTCAAAAGTCAGAGACAGTCAAAAACAAGTTGTTAGAACGGGCTGTCGTGTTTTTAAAACTCTCAGACAGTAAGTAAGAAAACTGGCACCTGCAGTGTTTCTCACTTCGCCAAAACATTTCTCTGTCTGTTCCTAAAACATTCATGCTGTTTTCTTGACTTGTAAAAACCGTCTGACATCACTAGAACCACACCCCTGTTGGTTGCTTCAACCAATCAGGATTTACTAAAGTGACCGGAAGCAGAACTCTTTAAAAGTCGACACTTCCTGGAACTATTAGTCTTCTGAGGTTCTGGAGTAGTTCTGGAGTGAAGTTCTGTTCTTCAGTTCTAGCTGTTCTGGAGTTCTGGAGTTTTCCACTGCTGAATGGAACTTCGGACTCCGTTTTCCAGTCTGTTGGAGCCATCCATCTCTGCAGGAGCCACGACGTCTCGCTGTGGCTCCACCAGGCGAATGTCCTACAACTTCTTAGGAAGTTTGTTCTATTGAACGGAGTATCTCACAACTTCTGCCGAGTCGCAGCCGCCCTGAGGAGATGCTGAAAGTTAGCGTGCCAGGGACCTCTTGACCGTAGCGGACACATCCTCTGCCAAGGTAAAGAGTCGTCACGAGCTTCACGCGAAGTGTACCGCGGGCGAACTGCGTTTGGAAGGAGCGTGTTGTTCTGGTCTACCGACATACATCTTCCTTCAACATCTCTGTTTAAACTCCTCCATATTTTCCATCTTTAAACTTCTATCTTGCCAGTAATTAATCCAGATGCCTTCAGAAATGTCTGTTGAACCAGATCAGTCTAATCAAGTGTACAATGTTTTGATGTTAAATTTTGATTCTGTTAAATAAATGACCACATTTATTATGATGGGTCAAAGAAAATAACGTCTCATGTCACTGATTAAACCATATACGCACAGTACCTCTGTCACATATCTGTAATTAGCTCGAAAAAGAGAGAACTCGTTATTTAAATATAATTGTAGTGAAGCTACGAAGCTAACCTAGCCCATAGAACACTACAACCGTAAGGTGGAATTGATTTATGAGAATCGTAGGCCACTTGCAGCTTTGGAACTCACCAGCTTGTTGGAGTCGATCTTGGAGGAAGCTAATGAGCACGGACCAGCAGAAAGCCCACAAATCTGTCTGTTTTTGATCATGAGAGTACCAGCAGAACTCGAGGCTGATGAGAAACAGTCTGCCAGCACAAAATCAACCGTGGCTCATCTGAATCAGGCCTCCCTGTTCAGCCTTGAACAGGCCAACTTATCAAATGGCTCCTGGAGGTCTGTAAACTAAGAAGGCTCTGTTCTATCCACCCCCCCAACCGGAGAACTTCTGTGAACACTTATCAGAGCTGTACCGGCTGACACCAACATGTTAACAGGACTATGGTACTATCTGGAAGTGCTTCATGGACACATCTCTTCGTCTTGTCGTCACATGCAGATGTTTCTGTAAATGTGCTGCTGGTAGTTGTTCCATGTCTTAAATCGTGTCCTGACAAGGACAAGGTGTGAAGAGATCTTTTTGTTAATACCACCATCCTCTCCTCATGGTCTTTCCCCTTTTCTATCCAAATAATCAGGGGCCACGCTCCTAGGAGCTGCAGTCACGTGCACTCCGCCCATGTTTTGGACAACTATACGGAATAAAATCTCGCTGTACTTGGGTGCAGTGATAATAAAGCTTCTTCTGATTCTTAATAATCTAGAGCTAGTGTGGCGTACAGTCTGTTTATGTTCATGGAAAGACAAAGAAAAATAAAGATTATTTGAAGTGAAAGTAGCTCATTGTCGCTTTCACTTGTGCTTTCTGTTGTATCACTGGTTCTCTGTGTGTACAGTGGTGCTCCCTGCATAAACTTGCTGTGTTTTATCTTCTGCAGCCAAACAAGTGGAGTATTTAATCAAAGAGAAGCATGTGTACTTGATGGCCAGCGGTCGCATCAACATGTGTGGTCTGACCACCAAGAACATTGACTACGTGGCTCAGTCCATCCACGAGGCCGTCACCAAAGTCCAGTAAAGGCTCTGTCAGTACTTCTGCTTATATGTTTGTACCCCAACCTCACTGTTCTCTTCTGATTGGGTCAAGTGCAGCCTGGAGTTTTACTGTTGAATCAATGAGCAGTCAGATGTTTCTGTTCTCATGTAAAGGTACGAGTTACGCGCCCTTGCCACAGTCGGATTGAACTCTTTCTACTGAGTCACCACTCGTAGGTTAGAAGTTCAGTTAAAATGTTTGTTGACAGCCATTTATAGTGCAAACCACAAAATTCTCCATTTCTGAGCATTGATCAAAGTGGACACAAGAATGTCGGTTGAAAGGAGCTTTAAAAGTAAAAATTAAATAAATAAAAGTGCTTCCTTACTAAAGATAGTGTTCAGAAAATACAGAGCAGTTAGTGTAAGTATGTAATCACAGCTAGAGGTCCTACTGTTTCTCATTTACGCACTGAATTCCAGCTTCAGCTGTGAAAAAAGATGAATCATTAAAAGTCAGCTTTTAGAATGAACAACATGCATGAGGTATTGTAATTTTTATTTATTCAGCAGCACATTGATCGTAGGATCTGTCGATGGGTTTGGATTAAATTTTACTCTTATTGTTGAAGAAACATTTTTTAAAAGGTTATTACGACTGAACTGTCCTGTCTGCTACAACGGACTGGAAAAGTGATGTTCCTGATGTTTCACCTTTTCAGACGTGTTTTTAGTTAATTTACTGAGTTAAGAGCCCCCGTGGTGCCATCACAGAAGGAAATCAGCTCATTGTTGCATCGGTCTTACTCTGCAGTGTCTTTACCTGTAACACAAAACCTGTATGAAGCTGCTGTCCTTCACTTCCCTGATGTTTGTGATGACATCCTGCAGTATGTTTATGCAGAAATAAATTATTATCCACCTATACAGAGTAATCTCTTGTCATTTTGATGTTGTTTATTTTTATTTGCTTTGTTCCTTGAACATTATGCATGTAAATAAAATAACCACTAAAACTGCTGCGAACACTAGGCTACTACAGCAGATGTGTTCAGATAAGTACACCTGTAAACATGTAAACAAGAAAAAGGGTTAAATCACATCATTGGACCAGTTTCATGCACAAACTACTGCCTCTGTAACTAAATGGGTTTAAACCACCAGGGGGCGCATGCACAAAGGTTTTTTTTGACTAGGGGGTTCCTCTGTTCAGCACAAGTACATAATCATTGGTCAGATGTGAATAAATCTGGCAAAGTAAACATTGGGTGGAAATCTACCCCCCCCCCACACACACACACACACACACACCTCCTGTCCGGCGTTGTGCCACTCAGAATTATTGTCTGAGTGTCAGAAGTGATGCCCAACAAATTTACTTTCACAAGCACAGCATTACGGCTGGCCTTAATGCTCCACTTGATTGGACAATTACATTTTATTAGAATTTGCTTTGGGTTTGTTTCAGATGTAATGGACATGGGGATGAAAAACAAAGAAGAAAAGTGAGAGAAGGGTTAAAAGGTAAAGGAGATAGGAATAGAGGAGAGAGAGAGAGGGATAAAGAGAACACAAATCACCATCTCTGTTGGGTCATCTGGACAGTTTATTTTTTTTTGCTGAAATGTTTCACCTTTCATCCAGAAGGCTTCATCAATCAAGGAAACTTAACACAAAACTGATCCTTCCCCCAACAGCTTACTCCAAAGTGGAACAAACCAGTTATGTTCGTGCTAAGATTATATATATATATGTATATATATATATGTATGTATATATATATGTATGTATATATATATATATGTATGTATATATATATATGTATGTATATATATATATATATGTATGTATATGTATATATATGTATATGTATATATATGTATATATATATATGTATATATATGTATATGTATATATATGTATATGTATATATGTATATGTATATATATGTATATGTATATGTATATATCTGTATATGTATATATCTGTATATGTATATGTATATATCTGTATATGTATATATCTGTATATGTATATATCTGTATATATATGTATATGTATATATATGTATATGTATATATATGTATATGTATATATATATGTATGTATGTATATATATATGTATGTATGTATATATATATGTATGTATGTATATATATATGTATGTATGTAT